TTTTTTTTTTTTTTTTTTTTTTTTTTTTTTTTTTTTTTGTTCTTCTTATTTAATTATATTGATAAATTAATTTTCTTCTCCTCACTTGGCTCCTCTGTACTCTCTGTTGCACACAGAAGCATTTACCCCATTTGCATGGTGGCTGGTAAAATGCGAGGGAGAGAGACAGAGCTCTCTCCCACTCACTCTATGGTTGGGATATGGTTTGTAATAAATAAAAGGATTGGTCGTCTTGTTGGTGCTTTTTTGGATTTACCAGACTGTAACTTAGTGACTACTGAATCGTGATGGTAAAACTGGCTGCTGTTCTTGTGTTTTGGGCTAAAAGAGAATCCTTTTCTTTGTGATTAGTTTTGTTCCATCCGAAAATTTTATTGGCCACACAAAAAAGAATTGTTTGCTTTTGGATGTTTTTCTTTTCTTTTAAGAAATGCTCATTGGGAATCTCAAATAAATATGTCCCATTTGACTTTATAACTCAACAACTTGGTACTCAGATTACCAATCCTACTAAACTAAACTTCTATGCATGTTACTAAGATTAAGACTATTGGATGCCTGTATATATTGATTCTAGAAATGGATGATCATGTATGACAGGATTCTAGAAATGGATGATCATGTATGACAGGCTTGAACTTCTCATAAATAATTTTGAAGAATTTACTCTGTACCCAATCTATTAGATTGGGTCGTGAGCCTATTCGATTCATTTAAGTAGTCAACATCTCAATTCGAAGAAAAAAGAAGAAAAAAGACGAGCATTATCGATTCTAGTAGACAAAGTGATCGGGAATTGATTTATTTAAATATAGCTCATTTATTTATTTAAATACCGCTCATTCAAAGTCAAATTATCTAATTTCAATTTCAGTTGTAACACTGCTGTAATTTATTAGATCACCACGATAAAACAAGCTCATAGCTATTGTCCGCTTTAACCCATTACGTATTTCTCTCAGCCTCACGATTTTAAAATGAGTCTACTAAAGAGAGGTTTCTATGCCCTTATAAGAAAGGTTCGTTTCCCTCTCCAACCGACCACGTGAAATCTTACAATCCACCCCTTTGAGAACCAACTCTTTGCGGCTGGTGTCTGGCTCGGATAACACTCAATAAGGTTGAATGGTCCGATAAAACCTAGAGTTCATATATATAGCTCTCAACTTCCCAACCACGAAGCATGTTTCCAAATAAAGAAAAAGCAATTCGACTGAACAAAAAAATTCAACAACAATACTTCAAAATCGATTCAACCGGACTGTTCTTTCTATTCCATTGTTATAGAGAGATACTCTTGATTAACAATCCAAGTCGGCGGATGAACAGACCCGTTTGCATGTGCCTATCTATCTAGATTACATGCAAGGCCAAATGCACTAATAATATCATTCTCTAGCAGTCGGCCATTGGTGCAATACTAGAATTAACGGAGTTCTCATACATTAGAAACACAATTGACATCAACCAAAATTGATATACTTGCCTCCAAACCAACCCATCACTGTAAGTAATACTACCCTTAACCTTTCTATTTCTTCTCTTTTTATCCGAGAAGCCGAACTTAAAATTTTTCAGACTACGAGCAAGATATAACTGTTAACATCTTCGTGTATAGTATTTACAGATCTTACCCATAATTCTAGCCACATTGTTTGATAAGTAGACAAAAGATATGAAAGGGAGATAATCCAACAAGCGTCTTCCCTACACGACCACCGAAAGGCAACCTGTGAAAATGAGCAGAACCCAACGCTAAAATATGCATCAGAATAACGAAAGGCTACAAATTGTAAGAATGGACATTTGCCCATGTCCAAAAACAAGCAGTTAAAATGGAGGTACTGAAGAGCACGATCTCGTTATTACGAATATAGTAGAAGTGATTACCTCAATTGGTCATTTGAAAATCATCTACATTCGACGATCAAGTTCAAACCCTTTTAATTTCTGAAGTGAGAAGGCCCATCTGTTCTGTAAGTTTATCCACATGTTTAGATTTGTCCCAAGCGTTTTCCACTGGCTGCATATCGTTCGTCTTTGGTAATCCTCCTCCTACCATAAAGTCAATCTCCTCCTCCTGACATGGACTTTGGACGAGCAAATCATCCCAGAAGTTGGAATTCGCTAGTAAGGCATCGATATCAGCATCAGGGGACATGCTATCAATCTCTAAGGGAATAGTTCCATCGACATCCAACAAACTTGGACTTATAAATGCAGCATTTCCTGCCTCGGGTACCCTATAATCTACTTCAGGAACATCAATAATGTTCTCAGACACCATTTCAGATATTTGGGAAAGCTCAGGCATGATTACATCTGTCTCGGAAACTGACAGGGAAGAAGCTTCTCGTGCCCCTGGACCCCGTACAGCATTAACAGCAAAAGGAGAAGTTGAAACCTTGTCTGAAGTTGTAGCTTGGGGTGACGATTGAATTTCCGATATGGCTGTTGAGGGCCCATGAGGAGCAACACCAGAAGCAGCTGAATTGAAAGATGATGGCCCTGAGGTCGGAGGTACCTCTTGAAGAGTCACACCTGATATAGAACTGGAAGAGTTCCCATTGTCCATTGCTGCACACGACGATTGCAAACCATCATTAATTAGGAAACTGTCGGTATTGAGGTTCACAGGTTCCGATTGTGAAGTATCTATTTTCATTATCTGCCTCAGCATTGTTTTTGCTGCCTCATTCATGAGAGGTTGATACTTCACAATTTGCCCATCAGGAACAGTAGAATGCTCAGACTCAACAATACCATCTTGCTTGAGCCTTCGCTTTTTATTAGCTTCACTTATGCGTCTAGTACTTTCATTTTGTTGCTGCACAAATTGAGCCAAAAAGCCAGGGCTTTGCACAGCCTTTGCAAGAAATGACATCATCTGCTGCTGTCGCTGCTCCATCCCTTGTAGACGCTGTACCATAGTTTGCAGCTGGTTGTCAGTAGTCTGTTGCTGCTGCCTCAATCTCACAAGTTCCTGCATGAGTACATTTTTGTCTCTTTTAAGCCTCTCAACCTCTTCCTCCAAACCAAATTTACCAACTTCCACACAAGCTCCAACAGACGTACTTTGTCCATGAGACTGCTGCGATTGCTGCTGACTGTGCCCATGGACAGGTTTTCGCCGAGTAATACTCTTAAGCAGGTGTTTCTGACCTCTTAAGAAGCCTTCATTAGCAAATTCCCAACGATCTGGATCAACTTTCCTGAAGCCCTAGTTAAAAAATATAAATAACCAACCAAATACAGGGGAGGAATCAAATAATTGGAAAGGTATGAGTAAGCAAAATGAACGAACATTAAAGGAAAACTGATAACTGAATATATGTTTACACAAAAAAGGACTGCAGCTATCAGTATTCTTATTTAATAATTTCTCTCCAAAATCACTCAACAATTTCATCGAGGGAGAGGCTACACTTCCTACTATGCTTTGAGAGTTGATTCGGAAAGCCAAATACAACAAAAAGTCTCCTCAAGGTCTATCTATTATGTATGCAAACTTAAAAATAGAAAAACCAATTTTACTGAGTTTTCTTTTAGGAGGTATAAAGTTCGAAAAACAAGCTATGATACTACCTTAAGGAAGGAAAACGTGGTTCATGTTCTCTTCCAAGAGACTTGGTTGAAAAAAAGGGAAAATCTTGCAAAATTCTGTGTCATCAGCTCAAAATTTGGGATTTGGTGTGTTTTCTTCCCTCCACTGAGTTACGTTTCCAATTCTTTTTGTAGTTACATTACAGTGTGGCACCATGACCAATGTAGATATCCACAGGATCTTGAAGAACCAGAAAAAGAATCTAATATTTTAAGAAGCTTTCCAACCTTAAATGAATTAGAGTATCAATATTCTACACTTGCCTGTCCACTGTCCTCACCTAACTAGACCAAAAATATTAAATCAAGAGGTTTCCCTATTCAGGAGCTTTTCCATAAGTGAATTTCTTTTAAAAACCAAGACAACCTCAGCTTGCTCTACTTTATCCAAGGCCTAGCAGATGATTCCATAACAGTCCTTGGGACGAGGAAATGAAAAGTGCACTGCTCCCTCCAGAGACTTCAGAATTTAATCATCCTAGCACGACCTGCTTCTTTGAGACAATAGAGAGACATGAAAGTGATCTCCAAAGTTAGCAACTGGATAGAAGGCTCCTAGAGCTGCAGCGTCAATTGTGAACCACCAAAAGGGACCATCACCCTATGTCACATAGCGTGGCAGCAAGTTGCACAGCTTCCTTTTCCTCTTTTTTTTTTTTTTTCCAGTGGGGTGGGGGGGTGTTATAGAGGAACACCGCCAACTGGATGATTCAAGGATCCTCTTTTTGGAAGATAGGTTGGGGATTCAAGCTTGGAACGGCCTTTCCTAGACTCCATAAACCTCTCCTCAGCCGGTCAGCAACCTAGTAACAGCTACTTGAGGAGAAGCTAAAGAAAATGTTTTGACATACAAAGCTTGGAACGGCCTTTCCTAGACTCCAATTTTTTGACATACAAAGCGTTAGCTCAAAAAGGATTTATGGGAAGACGAGAAATTATATATTTACTTAACCAAGGGAGATTTTAAAAAGGCCTCCCAATTAGCGTGGGTAAAAGTAAACATATAGTAATAAAATTACAGTAGAAATAACATAGTAATTACAAAACTCTTACCGTTAAGTAAGAATCAACTCCCAAACACCCTTTGTATCTTTAGGCTAACCTAAAAATTATTTTGAGTTTTATCGATTCAAATCCCCCATACAAAGACATTTAATGCATTTTCCTGGAGTGATTTTCATTTCTTTTCAACTTTAACTGCACAGGAGCTAGAAGATCTCTCCAACCCTTAGAAACATCTCTTTTAAAAATAAAGTTTGAAGAAATAATGTATTACTGGATAACCTAGGCTCCTAGACTCCTAGCTGAACACTTGAAGCAAAGGAAAAACAAAAGATGAGATGAAATCCATCTTCAAACATCTGATTGCCCAAGACACGCAAAGGGGAAAATATTAAGATGCTTCCTTTCAATCTATGCTGTATAAATTATACACCATCACAAGCTTTCCACAAAAATAATTGAAATTCGTTGGGAAAATTAGATTACCAGATAGTCATACAGCCCTATCCAAGAAAGACAAGTTAAAAAGTCAGATGAACAGTATAGAGGATGGTCCATTCTTCTCCATATAAGTTGAAGAGATGTCTTCTGAATAACATATTACATCCTCCCTCTCATTGAACCTTGAAATGTTTAATGAGAATTTTCTTGAAATGGCCACCTGATAAAAGCCCTGAGGAAAGGGAAGATAAGAGAACGATTGCCTTAACTGACATCTTTCTACATTTTGATGCAACC